CACTTACAATCCAAATATGGTTACAAAAGGGACATAACAAAACTAGTATCTAATTCTTCTAAGGTAGCCATACGTTTTCAAATGCTTCAGTTTCACTTTTGACCAACTAATAGTCTTCAATACCTAGCACAAAACGCGGATCAGTAAACGCACAGACACCCAGTCTCTTTTTTCTAGTCCAATACACAATCACAATTACAAAATGAAGCATGATATTCAAGTCAATAAACAAAGGGATCATAAAATTAGGTGTTAATAAACTAGAAATTCCCCAAAGAGATTTCATCCTCCTAACCACAAGAATTGGACTCGAATTATTCGGTGTGTCTCCTCTTTTGCTGTTTTGTAGACCTTATCCCGGATGCCTACAATGGTTACATACCATGTGACACCAAACAAGGACCTCAAAAGAGACGGTAAAAATGAGGGCCTTGTCTATAACCTCCTCCAACCTTATTATACCAAAACAACCTAGGGTCCGAATACAATTGATCCTTTCAAGGGTTCGAAAATAGCCACTTGCGCAAGACTTTATTTTCAATAGGAAACACGTCCTGTCAACCAATTCTTGAAGTTGTCATAAGTACTATTTCATTAAATTACTCAAGTAATCGAAAACCATTTACTACCCTAATTAAGTTTCCAATTGAGTTACATGTTTTAAGTTTAGGTTAGCACAAGCTATTGAGACAAAAAATTATATACAAGTTATTGAGACAATAAATTCTACACAAGTATGAGCATCATCAAGCTCTATTGTAAGGAAATATAGCCACAATATGTAATTACCATATTAAAGCTCAAACAAGTGATAAGAAACATATCCAAGAAATTAAGAACATGAAATCATCAACAAAAATAAATTTTTAGATTCTGTTTACTTTAAAGATCACAATGAAAGAGGTATTTTCAATTTCTCTCTCTCTCTCTCTCTCTCTCTCTCTCGCTCTCTCCTGAACTCGACCTTCTTAGGATTCGTAGAGAATTTTATCTAGTTTCCAGATCATTATTTGGAAGCGTGATAACTTTCCTAGATTTTTAATTATATAAGAAATACACTAGCGCTATCCAGATTCTTCGACTATTATAAAAATTGAATTTTCTCTGAAACAACTCACTTTTTTTCAATAAAACCATTTTTTTTATTGAAAGCTAATACTGTAAGGAAGGTTTTGATGTAAGAATGAGGACAAAGGGATTTTTATACATTTTTCTAGAATTTTTGAAAGTGGACTGAAAATATTGGTCATATGTGCATAAAACTTAAAATAGAAAGAGTAGTAGAAAAAATGGAGCAACCATGGATAATTTTCCACTTCTCTTATAATGAAACATGCTAAATACTATTTTAATAACACATATTTTTAGTTTGAATGTGTCTTTAAAATAATGTAAGATTTACATTGAAAGTTGTGGGTTTGCTTCATTTGAGAGAAAATACATGCAAGGTGGCAATCAAGGTTCTACTTCTCTGATTCAAATACAAGAACACCATGCATACACATATTAAAATAATGCTCTAAGCCTCTAATATCATATATTTGAAAGAGAAAATAAAAGAATGGATTGTGTTGTGGCTTCTAGGAATGAGGTTGTTCTAGTGTACTATATTTTTCTTCCTTTCTCACACAAGCTCACACCTTCTTCCTTCTTTCCCCTCCTCAGCCGAAATGTGCATGTGTTTTGTGTTTGAGTGAGTAAAAATGTTAAGGGAAGTGGTCTATTTATAAAAAAATTGTGTTAAATTGTCTAAAATGTCCTTTGTTGGAATAGAATGGAATATGTTTGGATTTAGTTGAATGGTAATGGAATGGAGGTTGATTAGGATGCCCAATTATGTTCTAAACATGATTTAGTTATATATTAGTCAAGATAGAACTAGATTGATGCCAAGTACACAACAAGGTTCCATGAATTTTGCTCAAAGTCAAATATTCCTACTTATTTCAAACTTATTTGCCTTCAAAAGTACACTATATATATATATGCATATATAGGTGGCTGGCCATTTGATAGGGATTTTGAGGGATTTTTTCAATTTATTTTGTGTACAAATTCATCTTAAAATAGTGTAGATATTTATGAAAAATATTATTATAATGAGGCGTACTTTAATATATATATATATATATAAAGTAAAGAATTTGAGGAAAATGTGCAATTTTAATAAAGTGTGAGGGAATGGTATCAATTTATAAATTAAAATACATATTTGAAGTATATAATTAATTAAAATAGTGATAGGAAAAATAATTCAATTTGTGTTACGTTGCTTTGAATTGAAAGGTGAATAATCGAACAAAAACAGTAAAAATCAGAAAGTAGGGTTTAGAGTGATTAATCTATAGAGATTTGAATAATTAATATTAGATTTTTAGAAATGATTGCTAAGCTACCTGGATCAATTAGGGTTTGTACAAGTTCGTCCACGATGCGTTTCAGTTCTAGAGTTAAATTTATGAGTAAACAAGGAACTAAGAGTTTTTATTATAATAATGCAAAAGTAAGAACCTTAACAGGGTTTACAAAAGTTAAGGATCTCACAATGGCAATGAAGGTGGTGGTAGTGGTGGTGGTGGTGGTGTTTGAGAAGGATGGTCATGGTGGTAGCTATAGTAGTGGTGTAGTGGGGGTAACAGTAATGGTGGGGGCGACAAATATCCAATTCAACATTTATGGGCATTTATAAATTTAGTTAACATTAAGCAAGTTTCCTATTGCTTAATTTTTATTTTTTAATTTTTAACTTACATTTTAAGAATTACTTAAATTTTTAAGTGATATTAATTGTGGTTATTAGGGTAGTTCATGGGTAGGACTGGTTTGGATTTCATATACATCCGCCACTTGAACCGACCACCTCGGATTGGAGAATCCATCATCCGATTCTGTCCGACTAACTGCTTGAAATTAGCCACTTCAGGCTAGAGATTTAGCGGTCCAGTTTCGGTTGAAACTATAACAGATCTCCTCTTCAAGAACAGACCTCCATTACACAAATTTGAGTGGGATGAGGAAAAGAATGGTTTTAGGAAGAGAGATTCGAGAGAGAGAGAGAGATCAAAAATGAAGAGAGAGGAGATGAGGGCCACTGGCGAGAGAAGATCAAGGAACCACCATAGAAGATGATCAATGTTGAGAATGAGTCACAATTGGTGAAAGAGATCAGGAAGAGGTCTCATTTATCTAAGAGAGAGAGGGCACAGAAGCCATAACATCCTTATTTAATAAGAATGCAAAGAGACATATGTGAGAGAGAGAGAGAGAGAGAGAGCATATAAGAGCAACTCCAACCACTCTCTACTTTTCACTAGCTAAAGTACAAAAAAAGTACACTCTTTATTTTACCTAATTACTTTAGTTATTGTGTTTTCCAATAACGCTCTTTATTTTAGCTAATCATTTAAACTAACTTAATTAATTTTTAAAATAAAAAATACTAATTATTGATATTTTACTAATATAAATTTGCAATAATAATAAATTTGCCCATATAAACATACAAAACCTGTAGAATGAGGAGAAAAAAAATACAAAATATAAAATAAGTTATTCTGTAATTCAGCAAACATAATTGAAAGACTTTATAAAATTGCTACATACACACACACATATATAATATATAAAATCCCAAATCCAAGACATAAATATACAAAAATCTAAAATATATACATACATAATTGTTTGGAGAGCCTCCAGGGCTCTTCAATTGTAGCCACCCAAAAAATAGGATGGTAAAGTAGCTAGCCCAATAGCTAGCCCATTGGAGCTCAAAATTAGACTTATATTGACTAAAATGTCTAACAAGTCTTGTTTAACTATCTCCTTGGAGATGCTCTAAGAGTCATAATGACTCATTGGGACTATGAGAAGTAAGGTGTGATCTTTTAACACCCTATCATATGCTGCCAAGTGTACATGGAGGGTTTAAATAGAGAAGAGGATAAGTCTGAGAAGATAAAATGTATTTTTGACTGCCAATTTTGAACTACCACGTATACTTCATGTTATAAATTCGAATGGTTCGGGTGTAGTGAATATTTTTCCTAGGAAGACCGTATGACATTTGAAATTGACCGTGACTCATCGGCTTGAGTCAGTCCGGTAGGTTTATTTGGATCTTACAGGTTTGTGAACAACCAGAGTAGTTATCAAATAGGCTTAATTGATTTTTATTTAATACATACAGATTTAAGTGTTGAATTAGATTATCAAACATGTTGTGTGATATCTGTCTGATATCCGTACTCAATTTAGACACTTGAATCTTATATATATATATTTTTTAAAAATATTTTATTTTGTTTTGTTTTTCTGATATTTGAAGAAAAAACTCACATTTGTACATGATGTGTCCCTGTACCCATATCTAACTTTTAGATACAGATCTTACTGTCTTAAATTCAAGGTTTATGAAGGTTAGACTTGAACACACACTTGCACTCAATGCTCATACTTTAATTCATGTAACATAGCTCATAAGTTTATTGTGGAAAAATTTGTCATGGTAACCCTAAAACTTATATTGCTGAAAAAATTAATTTCAATGGAAGAGGTGCAACAATAGTGACAAAATATTTTGTTGTGATTAGGACTATTTCTGAAGCAAAGCATTATTTCCACACAACATAGAAAAATTGATGTGATGAAAACTCTCATTAGAAAAGGGACAAAAAATAAATAAAAATCCACATTTTATCACAATAATGCTATTGTGAGAAAAATTTTGTTACGAGCTTGTTACAATAAGTTTGTTTTACTATCTTTATTATGACGAAAGCCCGATTTGCAATAGAAAAATGGATTTGTAAAAACAAAATTTTCATTACTATTGTAATAAATTTGTGGTGATTAGACCCACCTTTGTCACAATAGAATTGATCCAAACAATTAGTTTGTCAAACACATTGATAGAAAACTATCCAAAAAAGTATAAATTTAGCATTGAAAGAAAAATATTACCTTAACTATACATGCAGGTGCCTCTGTATATTCTTGGGCAGATGCTAGGATCAATTCTTGCTAGCGGCACGCTATATCTTATGTTCGATGTAGATGAGGATGCATATTTTGGAACAGTGCCAGTCGGAACCACAGGTCAATCACTTATGATGGAGTTTATCACCTCCTTCATGTTGATGTTCGTCATATCTGGTGTTGCCACAGATAACAGATCAGTAAGTACTAATTTTTTTTAACGGATCAATTTTTTTGGGTCATTGAGGTGTCATTGCAATTCAATTACCCTAATTTTCCTTTGCTTTTCTTTTGTTTTTCTTTTCCCTCAACTAATAAAATGAAATAAAAATAAGAAAATGAGTGCTCAAAAACTTTTGCAAATGTTATTTAAATTCATTTGATCAATAACCACTAGGATTATAAAAAAAATAAGAAAACAAGATAAATATATATTCCATATGTTCCTTTGTATAATGGAGAAGATCTATTATATAGGCAAGGGTGGAGTAGCCACGTGTGGACCGCATAGGCACGAGGGATTTGAAAAAAGCCTCCTGAAATGGCAAAATTCAAACAGTGAGTGAACCTACGAAGGTTGAGATAATTTACTACGACAAAGGCGAGTACGGTGCTCATAGTGATAGAAAACCACTAAGAGCCAGTTTACTGTCTCGTCATCAGACGAGTAAGGGAATAGAGAGGTCTGAAGTTGACTTCTTCCATCGTGGGAGGACCAGACCAAATAGAGAGGTTGAACAGGATTTCTTCCATCGGCTGAAGATGATGATCAACAGAGAGGCCATGTCACACTTGAGATTTACAAAATACGAATCAAAACTAACAATCGAAATCATCTAACACGTACGAAAGTGATTTAGATTGTTATTCTGCAATCTATAAATTGACATAACAATTTTTACGTGAAAAAAATCACAGTTGAAGCACCTCTAATTGTGATAAAAAATCACGAGCGAAACACCACTAATCAATCTACTATAAAGAATGAAAATACACAAGATTATCAAACAATTTACCTAACACTTTGTAAAATTGTCTTCAATAACTTATGCCTCTTTCACCAACACCTTCATCTTAGAATTGATTAATCTGATGTTGAACCCACAACAGCCAACGAGCTGCTTCAAACTCCTTCAAAGCCTTTACGCTCGAATCTTTGAAATCCATCGAATAAGAACTCTTTGATATGAATGATCAAACAATCCTTTGTTGTAAACAATTTAAATCATTAGATAAACTCACCAAGACATCAATGGAAACAAGTAAAGAAACTCTAGAGAGAAACCCTAACCCTCAAGAACATGATCTGGAAGATGTAACACTAAAATTTGACTTCTGCACAGCCTTATAGGGAATAAGGTCGTGAAGGCCGCTCAAGCCATGGAATGGTCGCTGAAGCCGTGTGCCACATACACATGAAATCCATCAACGACTTTGCTCGAGCCACCAACAACTTCGCTCGAGCGAACATTGAACCGTCCCGGTATTTTTGCAGACATGTTAAACTTCTGGGAGCTGGGATTCTTCGCTCAAGCGACCACTCCATTGCTCGAGCGGTCCATGATAAAGCAAAACACAGATTACAATTGGAAAAAGTGTTTGTTCGCGAAATTGACAACATAAGGGACCTAACAATTTCCCATTTTGTCAATTCCCTGATAAAACACGTCTAACATTTAAATCTTAACAAACTCACGCACTAGATAGGAAAAAAAAAAACCTCAACCATTCTGCACATCACCTTTTAACCATAGTGAGTAAACCATCTGCAAAGAAAACAATTTCACACAAACACTAGACATATATAAATGAACAATTAGCATGATTGGCAGTGATAAATAAAACAAGTAGACCATCCAAAAACGAAAAGCAATATAATCCAAAATCCAAAAGTAATATAATCCCAACCATCCAAAATCCAAAAACAATATAATCCCGACCAGACAATCCAAAAACCAATATAAAATCCAAAATACTCTCCCTTTTTGTTTGGGAGAAACAAAGGATACAGTCATGTGGCCAGAAATAAGAATTACCAACATACTAGGAGAAAATAATAATAAAAAATATATGTCCATCAAGTAAAAAATAAGAACTGTCCAAAATAGAGAAACAAGGATAAACAGTAAACCATCATGGATACAGTAGAGGTGGAGGAGCCTGCTGCTATATCTGAAGTATGTAAAGTATCTATGCAAGCTGGAGAGATGATTGGTCCACAACATGCTCTATGCAACCAGAAGAAGCCTTCAAAGCAGTGAGATGAGCATAGGTAGATGTCTCTAAGTCAGTGAGATGTGCATTATATACAACCATCCGAGTGTCCAAGCGATTAAAACGTGCAAACAGGGCCTACTCTACCTAGCGAAGCTATCCCCAAATAGTACAAGCCTGAGGATGCTGCGGTTCTCCCTCACCAACAACTGTAACATCCAGCTTAGCTTCTTTATCCATTTGGTCCTTACTTGCACCATAACCACCCACCTTTGATGAAGCCCCCTTGACATGAGCCTGACTTTGGGACACTGTCTTTTTAGTGATAGTTTTGATTGGACATGCAAACTCATCATCAAAAGAAGTAGGAACAAAAATAGACGAGAGAATCCGATTGAGAAGACACCTATATAGAAGACCTAATGATATTTTCCCTTCAAAAACTGAAATCATCTTTTTAACAATCATTTCAAGAAAATCAATAGAAAGATGACGGTCTATATAGTAGAGCACATATCCTTGGTCTTGTGAGATATTACAACTATAGGTTCTGACATGAATGTTGGCACACATAATGATGTTCAGAAAACGAAAACAAGGAAGGAGTTCGTTTTAGTTAATAAGTGCCCCGGCAATCTAAGTCTGAGGTGTGCCACAAATTTTAGAAGCCACCATATCAAAGTCAGCATTTCGGGAAGCAAGGAATGTAAAGTGACAATCATGCACAGGGGGAATATCAAGGCAAGACCGAATGAACTCCCTGTCAATATGGAGTTCCTTGGAACAAACCCAAGTTTTGAAAGAAGTAGAGACTGGATCAACTGAGTGAATGCTACAATAGAATTCCCGGACCTAACTTAGGTTTTGTTGGCCTGAGAAGAGTAGCACGTGGTCACCTCCTAATACATCAAAGATAGAGCGAATGGGCATGGACTCGATGGTGGAGGGTTGGACATTTTGCTCTAGATGAACGGTTCTAGACTCATAGCAATCCCAAAACAAGGTAGCTTTTTCTTTAGATTGAAATTTATTAGTGTTAAAGGAGGGTCGAGATGTAGTTGCCTTTTGACGTTTAGATAATTTGGCCATAACTAAACCCTGACAAACCAAGTAAAACCACCAACAACCCCCCAAAGATAGCCCACCAAGAGACAAACCAGACATCCCCATACATGATACAATTAAACCAACACCCAAAGTTCAAACAAGAAGGACAAAGCCCCATTAGTAAGCAGTAGAGAATAATAAAATCCAGGGTCAACCACCAACAAGAAAATAGGAATAAACTAATCATGATTAATGATGTGCAAGGTCAATATCCAAAGTGACTTAGTCATGCAATTTAATCAAAGTACACTATAAAACCTTAGGAAAATAAATATAAAAAAAAAACAAATAATGAACCTAGATGGCAAAACAATAACCAAAAAGGAAAAAAAAAAAAACTATAGGGAAACACTAGCATGAGAAACCCTAGGCATGGAACAATCAGTAACTGTGGAAAGAAAAGAGAAAGGGAAAAAACAAAATAAAAGGGAAGGGGACTTACCAAATAGCAATGAAGATCACAAATCTAAGGGTTAAATCAAGTGAAATCAAGAGGCAAGTGATCAGGCACAGTGATGGCAGGAGTTTGCCCTAGGAGAGAAAAGAGCTCTAGAGGATTTGGGGGAAAATGGATTGAAAAGGACGGGTTCAACTATTTAAACTTGCATAGATTGCTTGAGCGACCATTTTGTCGCCCAACCGAAGACATTGAAACGCAGGTTCAATGCTCAAGCTAAGACTCCATTGCTCAAGCCTAAAAAACATGCTCTCAGTAGTTTGTGCCACCTACAAAAATACTGAATTGAGGTATTTATCGCTTGAGCGCAAGAACCTTCGCTCGAGCGGTGTACAAAATTCTAGAAGGTGTGCAAGAGTCTAAAATTCAACCTATTGAGCATTCAAAATCACTCATACAACCAAGTATCACCTGAAACAAGGATGGATTAGTACAATGGCAATGATGGGACACTAAGATGAGATAATCCATATATCATGAAGCTCACAATCTTACAAACTACACAATATGAACATAATATCATGAGCAAGTCAGGTAAGCATATATCAATGAACATAGGTAGCATATGAATGCACATCTCATTGGCAAACATGAGAGCTCGCATATTGTGTGTGTGTGTGTGTGTGTGTGTGTAATCCTTGTGTGGCACAATTGCTAAAGTTAATCTTAGTAGTGATCGGATGGCTAGACCTTAGGCAAGAGAATCTACACACGATTGAGGAAAGTCAAACCGCTAGGAGACAAGGGGTATTTGTTGAGTAAAGGCGATAGGCTTCCCCTTAATCAAAGAGTCAATTTTTATTTATTATTTATTTTTTTATTTGACTTTTCTTTCTTTCTTTTGCGCACTCATTGGCGGCTTTCATGCTCAAGAGTATGGCAACCAAACAAGAGAAGCTTGGAGAAAAATAAGGAAGGCCTGGTTAGTGCCTTTGAGGTAGCCTTTTCCTTATGCTTTGACTACAAAGAATTAAGGGAAAAGCCGTGGAGATACAAAAATATGGTAGGTGGTTAAGAGGCTCAACATCACCTATGATATGTCCTAGCTTGCCATCTCCGGGTACCAAAAAAACCCTATTCTTCCAAATCAAACACCCCACTATTCATCTTCTCCTTCTCTTCGTGTTTCTGAGCTTTCATTTTCACGCTCAAAACACCTACAAAGCTTGTGTTCCTGTCGGAGCCCGTTCAATCTTGACTTTCGTCTCTTCACATCGAAGCTGTACGTAACTCAATCCTTTCGTTTTCTTCGTTTTTGCTTTGTGAATATCTATAGTATAGAAACACATTCACATGTTTTTCGAAACACATTACTATAGTTTTCAGACGAATGGGCAAGAACCTCTTTAGACCATAATCACACTCACTGGGTTCACAAACAATTTGTATAGGACGCTTTTGATCCAGAATCACACCATGACC